CAGGCAGGCAGGCAGGCAGGCAGGCAAGCAAATCAGACAGACAATCACGCAGATAGACAGATAGACAGATAGATAGACAGGCAGACAGACAAGCTGACAGACATATAAATAGACAGACACACCGACAGTCAGGCAAACAAAAACTGATTGAAAGAAAACTATTCCCCCTTGTCCTAAGACTCACCGTTTTAAACCGGAGAAAGAGATGTACGATACTGTTGGTGAAGTTTCTTGTCCTGATGTCAACCATCATTTTCTCCCCAGGTACGTAGCCATGGCGACTGACAAAGTAGCGAATGTCGAAAAAGCCCGGAGCACCACAACCACAGCAGACAGATACTTCTTCTCTCCTCTTGATCTCTTTCTGGGAAAGTTTGTTATTAGTGATGTATAGTATATTAGGTAATATGTATGTGTGCATCTGTGTGTGTATGTGTGTGTGTGTATGTGTATGCGTGTGTGTGTGTGTGTGTGTATGTGTGTGTGTGTGTGTGTGTGTATGTGTGTGTGTGTGTGTGTGTTTGTGTGTCTGAGCGTGTGTATAATATATAACCTAAGAGTACTTACTGACATTGTGTGTGTGTGTGTTTGTGTGTGGGTGTGTGTGTGTGTGCGTGTGTGTGTGTGTGTGTGTGTGTGTATGTGTGTGTGTATGTGTGTGTCTGTGTGTGTCTGTGTATGTGTGCGCGTATGTATACGTGTACTTGTACGTGTGTACGTGTGTGTAACATTATTATTTTGCTAAAAGTACAAAACAATTCAAGACCCGTCGCATAGAGAACCATTTCTCACTGAAACACTTCAGGCCTAAACAAATTATGTAATGGAATTCCTTTCATTTAAAGCGCACTAATCAATTTCATTTTCACCACAAAGACGAAGGATATGTAAACCCAACAAGTCAGACAACTACTATCGACCCCAATTTTCTCCTTGAGATGGGCCAGAGAGAGGCAACAAGGAACGATATTGTGTCAAATTAAGTTATCGGGGCTTTTTCTGTTTTCTGAAACTTCAACCGCTTCTGAGCCTAAACATAGATACAGGAGAATTTAGAGATCGGATAGTTTTTACCAAAAACAGTTTTAACACACCCGGGTATATCTATGTTGGTTTTACTTTGTTTTAAAAATGTTATGTCTTTTTTCTAAAAGCTCAATTTTCGATAGCTTTTTTTTTCAGATCACTTCTTTCATTTGATATGTGAAAACACATAATGAGTTGTTCTCGTTTTTTTTAAGCTTTACTGTTGGTCTTCCTTAAGACCACAGCTAATTGTAGGTACCTTCTTGGGTTATTCATCAACTCATTTGCCTCCCCGAAACAATTTAGTTAGATGAAAAGCTGAAAAGAACAATATCCAGATGAAATGATCGGTGTACTGTAATTGATTTAATCGGTGTATGGAATGATTGTAGCTTTCTTCCTTTTTTTAGGAGTGGGTATTGGGGAAAGTGTATGAAGCGTTTATTGTTGTTACTGTTGTTGTTATGTTGATAATGCTGCCGCTATTTCTGCTGCAGCTATTGCTGTTGTTGTTTTTGTTGTCGTTGTTGTTGTTGTTGATAAAGGCGGTAGTGTTAATGCCGCTGTTTCATTTTTTCAGTGGGAGGGGTTGGCTGATTGATGAAGTATGTCGGCTGTTAATTAATTTGATTAAATTATTGAATACTACTCCCTCCCCCCCCTTATCCGTTAAATAAAAGAACATTTCTTAACTTGCCCCCCCCCCCTCCCCTAAAAATTGCCGTGGATTTCTGTCCAAGAAAAGCCAGAAAACCATGATGATAACTGTTCCTTGAATATACTTGGTAGTACGAGTTACTTAGCACAAGTTGACACATTAAGTGCGTGTTTATGCTATGTTATAAATATTCGTACTATGATTGGTTCACCAACTCACGTGATCGACAGTGGGTCGGTTGTTGTTGTTTTTTTGTTGGCCTTTTTTAAGGCCTTTTTTCTTCTTATTTGTTTTTGTTGTTCTTGTATTTTCCCTTCCTTCTTACTTCTTCGGTGTTAATATCAACCAAATGTGAAGGGAAAGGAATAAAAACATGTAGATTTCATTTCTACAGGAGTCAGTCAATGAACACTGGTATTAGACAAAAGACCACGAGAACACGTAACCTCTTTCTCTTCTCTCACCTCGGCTATGGGGTCTGTGTTTAGATTGTATTTGCTTATGACAGTAAAGGCTTTCTTGGTGATTTGTTCCACGTGACCAATGACGTCAAGGACACACTCCAGCCAGTAACGCACGTAACCATGACAACCCTCGTAGGATGATGGCAGATCAGACGGCACTGGAAGTTCAAAGGGCATGCAGTGGTTTCCAGCGGGGAGAACGTGCATGTAGGTACTCTCTGGGTCTGAGAAAGACACGGATTATAATACAGCACACTTATAATACATAAGGCTGTTGGTGTATGGGAACTGGTGTTGTTCTCAATCTTAATGGATGCATGTAGGCGCTCTCTGGGTCTGAAAACTGATAAATGACCCATAGTTGTTTTGGCAGTACGTTGATAATAATATCGATCTAGATATACGTGCAAGCACAAGTACACGTATCCATACACCAACATCAATGGATGGAGTGAAAGATCGTAAAAGTATGTTCTTACTTGTACTAATATTATTTCTTGTTTTATTTATTTTGAAGGAAAACCGACCCGGAATGTCTGGAGGTGTCATCTCGAGCTCAGAGACCTATGTGTTCAGACTTCACGTTCACGAGCTGCAGTTGCACGTTCTGCTAGCACGCTACACTAATTATCCATCCATGTTACTCTTTGTCTACCCCTGGCCCTCCTGCCGCACCTCCTCTCTTCAAACAACATCTCTTTCACAGTGGTCTGGCGTCGTTTTAAGTTATCAAAGTTTTGTATTTTTCTGCATTTTTAGTTAAGCGGGGTTTGTTTAGTGCGGAGAATCTGACACACCTCGTTGTTACTCTTCTCTGCTTTCCAACTAATTCTGGCCATTCTGTGGTAGCACAACGTGACAAACGCAGCTAATTAATATAGTGTAAAGCGCATAGAGCCTTCTGTTGAGCGGGGATATGCGCTATACAAATGCTATTTATTATTATTATTATTAATTTGTTTTCTTCTTTCTTTATTAAAGTCCAGGTGTCAGCACTATATAGGAATAGGGAGAAGATATAGTACTCCATCTTGGGGGTTTCTCAAGGGATGATAAAATGCTTGGATGTAAAAAGTTAACGCATTAGGCGGAATCTCGTTTTTGCTTCTGCTATCGTTTGTGATTGCTGCTGCAGGATATTTGCATTGATGTACTTTATTTGAATTAACCTGAGAAACACACAGACCATAAAAAGCACTCTGATATAATGCTGTCGTTGGTGTCTGTTTCCAGGTGTTGTTATTTATCGATGCGCACGATAACTGCTCACAGAAAACACAAAATGCTGGGATTTATTCAAGGCTCAGAATCAACAGTAATATTTTCATGCGGTCTAATCCAGTTTTCTGTTTGTCAATAATTGTGTTTGTTATTATCCTTATTTTTTACGTTTAATGCATTTCAGAATTTTACTGTAAAAACAGTTCATGTCTAAATAAATAGTATTTATCAGTATATACGATTCATTTTTATTTTTAAAAGACAATATGGAGAACATAATAAATATGCAACTTTCCGTTAAGTCCTGATAAACTTTAGATCATGTTCCCGAATAGTTGTGTTTCAACAAGTCATCTTCCTCCGCCATTGTTATAAAACGACGTTAGAAGTCCTATATATGCATTTGATATAGGTATAGGGTTGTTGTCACTAATTTCATATTAAGGTTTTCATAAGAGCTGTACAGTAGACGTCGAATTTTGAAGAGAATGTTACGTGTTCATGTCAGAAACTTTATACAACTGTATGTTATGTTATTAAAAAGACCAATGTTCATCAGGTTGTGTGTTTTTTATAAATAAACCATTCAGCAGTTCACTGTACTTGATGTGACCGTTGTTTTCGCTGCGTCATCCTATTTCAGTTTGTAATGCACGGTAGATAACTCTGCTTTTACTTAAGGAATAGTAAAACATCCAGTTGTCTTCCCTGGCGATTTAAAAAACAACAGCAATGAGGTGAATCATCGTAAAAATAAATTCATTTTTCCAGAATAATGATCAAGCTCATTAAATATATTTGATCGGTGTCGCCAGCAATCGACTAATATGTCCCTTTGAGAACTTTTTATACCAGAGGCAAAAAAAAAAAAAAAAAGTTATGTTGTCTTGTTTTTATCAGGAATCATAAAAATCAAGACAATTGTAATCCTTGAGCATAGCATTAAACTGCTATTTGATGATGTTGAAAGGTGCATCTTTAGCAGAGGTAGAGCTTTTGGGGATTGGGGGGGGGTGATTAAAAATCGAAAAATTCTCCAAATGTTGATTTAAGAATTTAAGTGGATTGCTTGCGACAGCCACAGTTTATTTTCAAAAGCCCAGAATCGTGTTCGTTTTCTACTTTCATCTAATTACAGTCAATATATTTATTTTAAGTTTAGCTCCTTAAAAAAACACATAATATAAAGTAGATCGAGGCATTAGAATAACCATTTCACTTCTCGGCATAATATATTAATAATTTGTGCAGAGATGTGAAATAATTTTTTGTCTTAATTGTCTCTAAAATTTTAAGAACGTTATAATGACTATTCATGACACGTTGGGAGTTGTGGTGTTGTTGTTGTTTTTTTGGGGGGAAGGGGTGGGGGAGGATGCTGCTGTTTATTTGTTTGTTTTCTTTTGTAAAGTCATAATATTTATATTTCTGGAACTCCATCCTCACTGATGCTGTTACTATTGCTTGTATGCTGAGCCTTGACTTGACCCCCCCCCCCAACCTCTCAATGCAGTAAGGTCATTTGAGAGGTGGGACTATTAAATTCAAAATTCTCTTCGATAGGACATAACTATCTGAAATGGGGTGGGGGCTCTAAATAAACAACAAAAATTAAAATTTGAATTTAGCACACACACACGCACAAACACACACACACACACACACACACACACACACACACACACACACACACACACACACACACACACACACACACTAGTCCACTATTGTCAGACTGTAACTTCTCCAACCAAAGCACATCTATCTAGATTTAGCTGGTAGCATACACACAGTTAATGATTTGTCAAATTTAAGATTCATTTTCAAACGTCATTTTGGAAATTACACAAATATATGACGAAACCGTGTAGATGCAGACACAGGGTGCTTGATTGTGGAGTTTGAGGCCGCTCCCCCTGAGGCGAAGGGATACAATATTGTGTGTAAATTGTTCCCTCTCGACTCGGGTTCGAGGATCCTGTGTCGGGATCTGCGCAACTTCACATTTAAATATGTATTAAGTCTTTAACCCAATTGTGAACTTGCTACCTGCAAACCCCTTACGAAACCCCAAAAATAATATCTGCCACTGTACTAGCTACCTACTAAGGTCCTCCCTTCACTTGTCTTGGCCCGCTAGAATAGGCTAATACTAACAAGGTCACCATAGCAGAGACTGTGCCCACCATTTCGGAACTTCACGGTGACATTAAAGATGGTTCCAGTAGGGAACGGGATAGCGGGTGCCCACATCCCTCGTGACTCATCAGAGCAGAGGAAGATAGGACTAACGCTAACATTATTTTTAAAAAAACAAACAACAACAATCAAATAACAAGCATATTGTTTTCTTATAATTATAAACGTAAGCACCATCCCACATAATCACTTATCACCACCATCACCGTCATTTCTAAGGTCATCATTGCTCTCAGATCCTTCACAAACATCTATAATTATCTTAAACATTTATATGTAACAGTTATATATCATAACAATTTTGCACTTTATACATTATTGGGCACTCTCATACGCACATTTTTCTACTAATCAGATGGCGTCAATATCATAGAAATGTGCAAGGGACAAAAAAGCATGAATTTAGGATGCTACTTTCATCCCCGAGCAATAGCGGAGAACGATACAAGGTAAGTTTACCAGCATCTATAACTGCTACTACTACTCCTGCTACGACTACTACTACAATTATTACTATTACATCTACTCTTATTATTATCATTATTAGATCTATTAATACTTTTATTTTTATGAATCATTATTATTATTATCATTACAATAATACAAATAACCCCAAATCGAGTTCCTCTGAGGGAGGGAGACAAAGATAAAACGTTTTCTTTCCGTTCTGTCTGATCCTAGAAACATTAAGGGGGAGCTTTACTCGTTCTCTTTGATGTGTCATTTCATCTTGGAGTCGTCTTCAGTTGACATAATTTACATGCTCATAAAATGTCGGCCACGGAACTGTCATCTGAGCGATGTAAACTTTTCCGCGTCGCTGGATTGCTGGAAAAAAAGTCAGTCTGTATTTGCCAAATATTATATTCACACATTTACCTTTAATAGACTCGAAAATGTGGTCTGCTCCTGCCGAGAAGCTTTTTTTGTTGGTCTTAAAAAATGTTTTGGCTGGACATGTGATGTTCAAAATTGTTTTAATGAAAAGATAATATTTTGGAACCTTTGTATTTACTGCTTTTCAAACAAAAGTGATATTGATCTTGACAATTCCGTTTACTTTATCACTGGCGGCAATTAGTAAGTACCTGAAACGAATACATTTTTCATTATGCTCACATAGGGAAATTCTCATTGGTAAAAAGCATGCGTTTGGTATCACACCAATAGAGAAAATATTTTTTGAAATATACTATTGCTTGTCGTCAGTTTCCATGAACCTGTTTTGAGGCGATGATATTGTGTCTTGCTCAAGACCCACCCCAATGGGCACCCGTGTAATGGCCAAAAGACGAAAGATTCCCCTTTCCAGCAGCTAGGATGTTGCGCATTTAGTCTTTACCATACTATTTCCCCCATTTTCCGCCAGGTAATGAGTATTGGGCTGACGGTTAGAGGCTAAGGTAGCGCTAAGCACTTCCCTTGCTCGACCCAAAATTTCGTCTATGAGGTTGACATGGTTAATTAAATTGACGAAGTTGAAAATGATATTATTTCGTACAATCAACTGAACCTTTGTATAATATATAAGTTACAAGATTGTAAGCTGTCACTTTACCTCAAGTACCAAAATGACACTAAAGTTGTTCTTGTCATGGCAATGAGTCTTCTCCTAATGCTATCTTCTCTTTATACTCACCAGCCCCATACAGGATAGTTGTGGTCTTTGAGTAGATCTCGGTGTCTGCAATCGTTCTGACGTTCTTCCAGGCCTTCCTACGCTGCTTGGCTAGTCGGTTCATGTGTGGCACGGGTGATCCTTCTGCCCACTCAACGCGGCCTTCACCATAAAACGTCATTCGTACCCCTGGGATGACAAAAGACATGGCGGGACAAAATAATAAATGTCGTAGGTATCATATACATCACACTGTCCAAGTTTTAACGAGCACCCTCCCCCCCTCCTCCTTCCCTGTCAAGAGTTTGCATTTGTTGATGGTATTATTGCTGTTGTTGCATTGTTTTTGTTGTTGTTGAGGGTGGTGATGGTGGTGGTGGTAATTGTGGCGGTGGCGTTGCTGCTGCTGAGGTGGGTTTTTTTGTTGTTGTTGTTGTTGGAAGTAAAAACATGGCATTTTCTTATCCAGCGGCAATCTCAATTCAAGGTCTTCGACCTAAAGTTTAAAGAAAACTTAGGCCAATGGGTTAAGTGACTACTGGTCTAATTGTTCCATTTTATCAACCGAAAATACTTGCCACATTTTATTTCACTCTAATACTTGGCTGGGCCGATATTTTTAATCTTATTGTCAGGACACTTAGGAAATATCCTTGAAAGCCTTCAAATCAGATACATCATTTATGTAAACTGCCGGCAGGTGTATACTGCTCTAAATATCGATAGTATATATCTCACCTAAGAGTAGCAAATTCAGCTGCCAGCTATAAAAAAAAAATGTTGGGTGAAAAGCAATAAAATTAAGATCAATTAAAGGTGTCTGACGTACTGCTTACACAAAAACATTAAACATAATTTAGAAACACAATATCAGTCGGCGCATCCACATAATAAAGAACAGAGTTAACATGCTGGTGTTTTCGTGAAGCATGTGTCTATGGTACCAGTTGTAAATTCATTACTTAAGATTTTGTGCTTTCAATTACGATAGCTTGGCAAGATTCATAATCACTTTTATAGAAAAAAACAAACAGAAAATGAATTGTGACATCTCTTAATCTATCTACATGTACAAGCAAACAAAAATAATAACCAACTATGTAGGAGCTCCCCTCTTTCAAAAATCTTCTTACTAGAAATGATCCCCCATCCTCCCCCCATCCTCTCTCTCTCTCTCTCTTTCTCTCTCTCTCTCTCTCTCTCTCACACACACACACACACACACACACACACACACACACACACACACACACACATTCACTCTCTAACTTTCTCGTTCTCTCTCTCTTACCCTCGACGGGGCAAAGACGCTTCATACAGTTCTATACTTTAGCCCACGTCTACCTCATTGACCGGGCCGTTGATCTGGTCTCTCGGCAAGACTTTACACACGATGCGTTGGCGCATTTTTAAAAAGAAACGTAAATTCTTAACTCATACCGGTTTGTCAATTAATTACATACTGTTTTCTTCATCAAAAACTTAAGGTCGCAAGTGACAACACGTATGTAATGGCGTCCAAAAAAACAACTTGAAAATGTAATCACCCAAAAATCATGTTATACAATAACACTACAAGTTCATGCAACATACCAATGTATAAAGCTGAATAAATTCTGCATCATGTGACACTTTAATATTTCAACTATGTTTAGAGACGCCCGAGATATGGTCACTCAAATTTGACCTTTAAAAATCTGGCTTGGCAAAATTGTGCGAAATCAGAGAAACGCAAAAGTGTGTTCGCGCGTATATTGACATGAAGTGCATTACCATTGGTGGAATGGACATGCATTGAATATCAAATGGAATGAGAATATTATGGTCTCTCCAATAAACATCATCCTCTGGTGATATTTTCAAACAGATTGGAGAATACAGCAGTTACAAATGGGACACAAAACCGGGACTTAACAAAACATGTGCCCATTATAATTAATTTTGTTTTTGTTTTGGTGCTATTGGTTTCGTGTCGAGCACGAAATCTTTTATGCACATGGACTGTGTTAGTTACATTTTGGACAAACTCATATGTCAGTGAGGAACAGAGGCCCCGAAACTGTCATTGTTTTGGGTGGTCTGGGGTGGAATTAACAAAACTGCCCTCATGAGAATCCCTGGATGGCTTGATTTAGTGGAATGCAACACGCAAGTGTAGGAACGTCATGTCAAACACTTATTTCCGTTATGGTGTCCTTCAAGTAGACATCTTCATGTATAGAAAGGAACATTCTCACAGGGACAATACCACAAAACTATTCTTGGAAAACCAAATCATATCAACGTCGGAGTGGTCACCAGTAAATGTGAGGCAGCGTGGTGGAATCAGGTTCTCGTCAATGTTGAAGCATGTAGAGTTATTGGTACCATCTTAAAGCTTGTTAACTTGTCTTTATTTGTATGAAAATAATATCCATTTATCTTGAATACAAGTCGAGATATTTGCCAATAAAGGAGGTGGGGGGTCACCTGTTTTCAGAGGTAAAATTAGTGAGAAAATGGCCGCCAAAGATTAGTTATTTCCCTAGATTAGGAGTCCGTGGTAACTGAAAATTTACATTTTTTGTGAATTTAATCAACGTTTTTCAGAAAAATCCACACAGAAATGAGTTTTTTAATGGGCATGAATGGCGTTCAGCAAAAAACCGAAAATTTGATAAAAATTCACAAACCTGCCGAAAAATGCAAGTTTCTTCACTTTGATCATTTTGACAAGAGCCTGATTCCACCACGTTGCCTCACAAATAGTCCCGGTATGAATCCTACAGGTAAGTGAAGAGTGAAGTACCATGAAACAGCAGCTGAAGAAAAGCTACTTTGCTCCCAATTCAGACCCTTTGTTTACAACTCTCTATGACATTTGGGATGAAATGAAAGATAGTTATGTCCAAAATGTAATAGATTCGAGGCCCAAAGGGCTCATGCACTATACAAAACTAATGGCAAAATAACAATGGGCAAGTTAAGCGTGGTATATGAGATTCCTCTGTTTTCCGTTTTATTTGAAACTGTCGTGATAAATTATCAAAATATAATATTGTGTATTGCTAAACAAGATTCACCATTCATTGGATATGTGTTATTTATGTCCATTCTATCAATATTGATGTTCCTCAATACACGTGTGAAAACAATTTTACGTCTCTTTGGTTTGGCACAGTTTTGCCTAGCATGATTTTTTAAGGTCAATTTTGAGTGACCATATCTGGGGCGTCTCTTAACATATAATATTATTATGAAGTTTTTCTGTGTCATATGATGCCGAATTTATTTAGCTTTAAATTAATGTGCTGCATGAATAGGTAATTGAAGGCTTTAACACCGTGCTTTGGTGATCATGTTTTCAAGTTTCTTTTGGACGCCACTGTATACGCGAATCTGTGTTTCTAACTTGTGCATGACAATTCAAAACCTACCAAAACATAGCCTTGGGTCTGCTATTACAGGTGTTACGAGGGAGTAAAAAAACATAAAAAAGACGGGAGATTCGGACGATTGATGTTTGATGGGAAAGAGGGAGCAAACCACACAAGACCGCCTGTTAGCTACAGGCTTTTTATCCTCATCTTCATTCATCTGTCTGGGCTTTTCAAGTAAGTTGCTATGGGTCTACCCTGCCTCGTTTGCCCTCGAAATTACCTGTGAGAGCTAGGTCCAAAGCCGTTTTGTCTGTTCAAGTGCACCAGAAAATCGCTGTCACTTTCTATTTGTTTCGATCAGCGAGCAGCCCACGTAAGGTTCTTCAAGAACTACCTTATTTGATTTGTTTGGATTGAACGGACGAAAAATTAGCAAAATTTTCCTTTCCCAACTAAAGCTTTTATCTACGATGATGATGATGGTATTGATGATGGTGTTGATGATGATGGTGGTGGTTGTGGTGGTGGTGGTGATGGTGTTGATGGTAGTGGTAATATTGGTGGTGGTAGTGGAAAAAAAGAAAAGATATTATGGAACTGCTTCGTTTTCTCCTGGATAAATAAAATAAATGCCCTCCATCACTTTCCCTCCACACCCTCTCTGACCCATATCCCGATGCAGCACTATGTAGACTCCTTTAAATGTGAAATCATGAAGTATACTCGCATAATATACGGTTTTACATTGACTCGAACTAAAAAAGGAACGTGCATTCTTTCTCAGGAGTGCCCACCTCGCCAGCTACGCAAGGTCCTTCATTAGGATTCGGCAATTCTTCTCCATGACATTCGTCAAGGCAGCTCATGAATAATGCTAGTTCAGCGGCAATTTTCCAACCACCCTGTAACTCTTCATGAACAGACAGCGATGTTGTTGTTTTTTTAAAAATAATCTCGTTGTTTTGTTTTCTTTTGGGTTTTTTTGGTGGAGTTTTGTTTCTTAGTCATGACCACGTTTAACCCCTCCCCCAATCTCTCTCTCTCTCTCTCTCTCTCTCTCTCTCTCTCTCTCTCTCTCTCTCTCTCTCTCTCTCTCTCTTTCTATGTCTGTCTGTCTGTCTGTCTGTCTGTCTGTCTGTCTCTCTATCTCTCTCTCTCTCTACCTCTCTTTCTCCCCGCTCTCTCTCTCTCTCCCTCTATTTCTCTCTCTTTTTTTCTCTCTCTGTATATATATATATATATTACCTATCTATCTATCTATCTATCTATCTATCTATATATATATATATATATATATATATATATATAATTTATATATATATATATATATATATATATATATATATATATATATTACCTATCTATCTATCTATCTATCTATCTATCTATCTATCTATCTATCTATCTATCTATCTATCTATCTCTGCCTCTCTCTTATCTCTCTCTCTCTGTCTCTCCTTTTTCTCTCTCTTTCTCTCTTTCTGTATATATATATATATATATATAATATACATGCATATTATGTATTATATATTTTCTGTTGTCACGTTTTCTTCCTTTTCCTCCATCTCTCTCACCATATTCTCACATCTAGGTTACAATCAAAGAGAGCATTTGGTTTTCTCCTCTTACAGAATTTCTATGGAGTCCTTTGAAATCAAAGTTGAATTTTTTTTAATGTTTAAGCCAAAACATCTAAATCTAGGTCTTCTTTGTTAAAATAAATAAAAGCCGTAAGTTCACCAAAGAGTTGTTAGAAGACAGATAATACCCATAGACCTCACAGTGAGAATCTAGATTAACTCAAATACTGGATTGCATAATCTGCTA